AGTCAACCCTGAGCCGGTGAGATTTGAACCGCTGAACTGCTGATCTAGCAGTAGCCTGCAGTGCTGCATTTAACCACTGCGCCACCTTGGCCCAGAACCCCAAGCGGTATCTAAAAGAATCGGCGTACCCGCAGGAAGCCCTTTCCGCCTTTGGCCAGGCTGTCCCCAAAGTCCCTCGGCTGGCGCCCCATCTCCTCTCGCCTCTTCTGCTGGAACTCCTTATCCATGGTGATGGCGGCCAGGCCTTTTCCGACCGAGCCGGTGATGCGGGACACCACGCCGGCTGCACCCCCTGCGAGCCAAGGGGAGTTCAGGGACGCCGGCGGAGAGCAGCTCCAGGAAGCTCCTCCACCCACCCAAGGTACCCCACCTACCGACGGTGTGGCCAAGAAGGCTCCTCACGCCAATCACGAAGCCCTCGGCAAACTCCTCGGGCCCCTGGACGGCTCCCTACGGAGAAGCAGACCCCAAGCAGACTTTGAGAGCAAAGCTAAGCGTTAAGTGGGCATCCGGCACACCCCCTGGCCAATCGTGGCTGTGGAGGGCTCGGGCGGCAGCTGAACCCTTGAAATGAGTTACTTAAAGCTACGTGGCCACTAGCACATGCTCCTCGCTGGAGCCCCCATGGAAAAGCCAGAGCGGGAGAGGAGCCTCCACATCCTGAGTCTTATCACATACTGGCAGCAGCCCTGAAGGGAGTCACGAACGAGAGCCGAGATTTCACGGATACCCCCCTCCCCCCGGGGTTTATTAGCCTTCAGGGCTTCCTTCCGAAATAGGACTCTCTTAAAAATGGCATTTGGGGAGGGGGATTTGGTAGGGTGGGACGGTGGAACCTTGTCCCAAGGTTTCCTGCTTTTAATCATCGTTCCACAATGCTCTTTCTTTCGTTGTAAGCTTCCCGGAGTCCTCCGGGATTGGGCCGCCTATAAATTTAATAAATGAAATGAATGCTCCAAGGCCCTACCTGGAAGGGCTCGTAGAAGAGGGCCTCCACCCCTTCTGAAAGGCCTCTGATTAAGCCGAAGGGGTTGCCCAGGACATCCAGCCCCAACACAAGGATGTACATCTGCTTCAGGAACTTTCAAGAGACAAGCAAAAAATAATAATACAGAAAATGAGTGTTTGAAATGACACTGGAAGCAGGAGAGGAGGGGAGTAAAAGGAGAAGGGTTTCCTAGGTCAAAAGGAGGAGAGAAACCGCAATGGCTCCGAGCTGCGCTTGCTAATGGGGGTTTATGCAAAGGGGGGGCGGGGGGCAAAGGACCGGGACTACTTACTTGCCCTCTGTAATGGCCGATGACTCTCCACAGCAATTCATTTCTTTTGTAAAACTGATATCTGATTTCGAAGAAAGCGAGCCTGAAAGCAGCAGATAAACAACCTCATGGAGAATCATGGCGATCCGCTGCTTAGAAACCCAGCGTCCTCTGCATTTAGAGAATCTTACGGGATCTACTCTGTAGGACACCCATGTGGAGCAAGCTACCTTCATCCCCTTCTACTGAAACCCAGCACAGCTGACAAGCCATCCAGCAAGCAGATGGGTGGTCGAAATCACTTTTCACTTAAGAGCGCTTGGCATTTGCGTGGGTGACAGTCCTTTCCCTGCTGACAAAGCCCAGGTTGGCATTTCCAAGAACTGACACACGCGATGGCAAGGGGACAGGAAGCGATGCATCCCTGCAAAACGCCCTCCTCTAAGGCACGTTTGACCAGAGACCCCTGGCTCAGGCTTCTGCCTCTCTCTGGGACAGCCCTGTCCGTCCTTCCCAGGCCTTCCTTGCAGGGAAGGTCAGCTGCAGGGACCTAAACTCCTGCTTGAGAGAGCCAAGGTGGCACAGTGGTTAGGGTGCAGTACTACAGGCCACTTCAGCTGACTGCTATCTGCAGTTCNGGTATATAAGTCTAACTGCTATTGCTATAACTGCTATTAAAAGTTACCAAGGTTGGGTACCCCTGAGTTTGTGGGTCAACTGGTGCTTGAAATTCATCTCACCTGAATCGAGTGCGATGGATTTGGGAGGAGCCACAGGGTGAAACACCACGGGGAACATGGAACCAGGGAGCTGGTTGTCAACCTTCAAGGGAGGAGAACAGGGGTATAGGGAGGCCGTTAACCAGCCTGCCAGTTATTTCTAAACAAGGAACTCTGCAGGCGGGATGTGCCAGCCTCTATTTAACTAAAATGCCAACGGATTGGAAAGACGGTGGAGTTGTGATACCAGATTAAGAGGAAAAGCCTAAGAGGATTTGCTGAGCAGGAAATTGTGATGTTAATGTTTCTCACAAAACACAGCTGTAACGTTTTTTTGATTGTCTCGTTTTCTCTTTCAGGAACACCACCGAGTGGATTTCTAGGAGCCGACCCTGGATAAGTACAGCGATAAGGGCCTCGGGGCGATCATCTTTCAGAAACCCAGCCTCTTAATCCCTGGGGGGCAGGGGGGGGAGAGAGATTAGCCTTCTCCGAGAGCAAAGGCACCTTACCTGCAGCCAGTATAACTGAGCCCGTAAGCTCTTTTGATGCGCCGACTGCTTGAATTCAATTTGGATGGCCGACAGAAAGTCTCGCTTGATTATGCATCTGAATGGAAGGCGCATTTCCATTGGCACCTTATCAAAGTTTATCTGGAAATAGAAAGCAGAGCTACAGAGCTGCCATTCTGTATTGCCCCTCGCTTCACGACCCAAGATACGGGGACATTTCAGCCCAAAATGCAACTCCTGAGAAACAGTGAAAATCTTCTTCCTCTCAACCGTCACCCTGTTATTGTGTCTCTCACTTCTTGTTGTGACAGACACAACAACAGTGACGAAGACACCGGATTTCCCCTTGCCCCTCTGAAAGCTACGCCTTGACTAACCCAACCCTGGGCTATTTTGCTTGTCTTCAAGGCCCAAAGTCAGCCATTGTTCAGGAGCTCCAATGTCAATCATCTTGATTCGAAGCTATTCAACAAACCTTAAATGCTGAAATACGCTCTTGGCTGTCCAGAACCTGAAACGGTGTTTCTCAACGCTCAAATGCCCTGCCTTGGACTCAAGAACTAGCATTAGCCTAGCGCTGATTGTGTTACCTAGTCCAGTAATGAAATGTTTGCAAGGAGGCCACCAAGCTCAGAGTGCACCTAGGACCCCACAACTCTAGAATGGGCTGGAGGTGTTTCTCACTCCTGAAAGGGAGCGGAGTCACAAAGAAGAGATTTTGCCCAGCCTCCGAGGCTCAGCTGCACTTCTGCCACGTGGAGGACTTGACCTCAGGGCCCGATTTTCCTATAGGCTAACGAGGCTTCAGCCTAGGGCCTCAAGATCAAGAGGGGCCTACATTCAAATTGTTAG